TCTTTTCCAAATTCCTAATTTCTACTAATTTGAAGTGTACTTTTCTTATATTTAAAAATGATTAATCATTTTTATTAGCTGGTTTCCTTATATGGAAAAGGTAATACATGTAGTAATAGCCAAAAAAATTTTTTTTCCAACAGTGCAAGAGGGTTATTTCAAATCTCTCTGACCTCTTTTAGTTACAGGAGTTTCTTGTTCATACAGTACATTTCTAGAGAGACTAGCATACCTTCTTAAATTCTGTTTTATTGATTTGTCTATCTAGTCATGGTTCTTTCTATTCCTAAATTAAACTCACCCCAATTGCTCTTCTTTTACAGAATTGTCCTGGCAGTTTGTCTAATGGATTATCAAGGGAAAGTTAGAGACACTTAGAAGCCACTGTCAGAAACTGGATCTTTGCCTAATTGGTTTTTCTTACATTAAGATTTTGTAGGAGAAAGAAAGAAAGAGCTTTGGTAAACGTTTTTGTAAGAAAAACTTAAAAAAAAAAAAGTAAATTTGCAGGTAAAACAAATGAATAGAGAGGCTTAAACTGAGGTTTGTTATATCTTGAAAACAATTCAGCAAACAGGAAGTTTCACAATTCTTAATTAAGTCACATGAGGATAACAGCACAATTAGTGGGTTAGGTTGATTTAAAAGGCTAATGAACCTATTCTGTTAACTACCTCTCTTTTCAGATATTTTTAGGCAGGTGGTTAGTTTCATTTGTGCCTGGTTCTAGAGATTTCACTGAGTTGATGAGGATTTGAAAAACAATGTTGATTTGGGGAAATGTGATTGTAGTTATCTCTAGAAGACTTTGAGGTCGATTGCACTGCTGTGTGACCATGTATGCTCTATGTTGAACTGAGTATTTTGTGTGTGTAGAAATGTTTTGTGTGTGTTTTGTTTTGTTTCTCTACATAGATAATACAGCAAATTCCTATGCCTAGTAAAACCAGACTCTCTGAGATTACTAATAACCTCTAGTTGGGATTATTTACTGACTTTTTTTTAGTTCTTCATCTACTCGTCTTCTCTCAGTTTAAGGACAGGCTAAAATTTTAGCCATGCAATTTTCAAATTATATAACCTCTCTTCCAGTAAATTGGGTAAAATATTGTGTACCTCAGAGGACTGTCATAGGGTTAAATTAAATAGTATACTTGGAAGCACCTGATATATATCAGTTATAAACTTGTAGGCCCTACCATGTTCCCGCTCAGTAAATAGACCAAACTATCTTCAACATCTAGTAGCAACTCTTTTAGTTTTACTTCAATAATTATACTTTCTCTTTTTTGTACTCCTCTACTAGCTCCTCTTCATCATCATTTAAACATGCTCAAGTTTTTTAATCATTAAAAAAAAAAAAAAGACTGCTATCTCCCACACTGTCCCCAACCAAGTCCCTGCAACAGGCATCTCCTTTTTCCTCCTCATGGCCAATTATTTTGCAAAATGTTGCTCAGTTTAGGTTTGTCTGCTGTTTCCTTATGATTTGATTGAAATGATGCATTTTTAGCAAGATTAATATAAAAGTGATGTTGTGCCCATCTTGGGGTATCATATTAGAAGTCTGGTATGTGAGATTGATATAGCTCATTACTGGTCACATCGACTTTGATCACTTGGTTAATTAAGGTGGTATCTGCTAGGTTTCTGCAGTGTTGTATTATTTTTCACTTTGTCATTTTAAAATATTTTGTAAGGAGATACTTTGAGTATATACAAATGTCCTGTTTCTCATCATACACTTACCCCCTAATTTACCATCCATTTTGGATTCTTGACTACAACAGTTATTACTATGGTGTTTGTGAAATTGATGATTTTCTATTTCTATCATTCTTTAGTAGTAGAGATTCTTAAATTGAGGTCTCTGCTCTATACCTACATCTGTATGCATCTGATTGTGGAGAAAAGTTGCAGCATTGACCAGATTTTCAAGAGATCATCAAATGGTGTTATCTTTTTTCCATCTATCCCTACTTTTTCAACTTTGTGGTCATAGTATTGCCATTGGAGTAGATGGAAAGAAAACCTTGTGTATTTGGCTTCTGTTTTTGATCTGTCTACATAGCTTATTTTGAATTCCTTTAAAGAGTTTCAGTTGACAGCAGACCACAGTATACCTGAGGTGAATGAAAGTGGAACTGCAGTGTTTGTTGTTGTCCTGTGTTGTCAAGACTTTGCTTTTTGTGGCCCGTAGGTGGTGAACCATTACATTTTGATCTGTATATTTCTAGTTTTACCTCAAAGAATGTGTGTTTTCATCCCTATGGAGTTTTTAAAAAGTCAAATACAGTATTTAGTCTGTCTTATAAGTAAGATTGCTAAAAGTTTTAGATTTTTAAAAATAATATTACCTTAGGTTATGATAATTTCTTTTTTGTTCTGAGCTATGCTTTCTTGAAGTAAATATATTTTTGTGAACAAAAGCTTAATGGAAACCTTAACTGAAACATGAATTTTTATAAGAAGTAGTTTGTATTCTTGCTTTGTCACCCAGGCTGGAGTAAAAGGGGTTGATCTTGGCTCATTGCAACCTCTGTCTCCCGGGTTCCAGTGATTCTCCTGCCTCAGCCTCCCAAGTAGCTGGGATTACAGGTGCCCGCCACCACAGCCGGCTAATTTTTGTAATTTTAGTAGAGACGGAGTTTCATCATGTTGGCCAGGCTGGTCTTGAACTCCTGACCTTGTGACCCACCCTCCTCAGCTTTCCAAAATGCTGAGATTACAGGCGTGAGCCACTGCGCCCGGCCAATATTTTGACTTTTAATATCCCAGAAACTATTTCTATGGCTTTGTCCTTTATACAGCTAGCAAAAATGAGATTCTTTTTTTTTTTTTTTAATATCCCAGAAACTATTTCTATGGCTTTGTCCTTTATACAGCTAGCAAAAATGAGATTCTTTTTTTTTTTTTTGTCTTAGAACTACTAAGTCACTTCTACCTATGCTTTGATTTTTTTTTTTTTTTTTTTTTTTTTTTTTTAATCTTCTAGAACAAGATGGCTACTCTGGTAGAAGAGAATTAAAATATTGCAGTAGTGATATATTTGAAGGATTATTCATGAATTGATTTTATTCTTGAAATGGATGATTCTCTTGAGTCTAATATAGCTTCCATGAAGTTTATCATTTTACAACATTATGTAGACACTTGAAATAAACTAAGCTCTACTATACAGTGCAAAATTCAACAGTTTATTAAAACAGGATAGTATGCAAGCTTGATTAAGCAATGCCTCTTTTCTACACTTGGAAAATCAGTACATAGCTACTCCAGAAATGTATTTGGATATTAGGTCTTAAAAAAATAGAGATATGTTTTCCCCTCATCAAATATTTAGATCTTTTTTGGATAATTACTATAGGGAAAATTAAATTTTAAGTGAGGAGTCAGTATAAGTAAAGACACAGCGATTTGTCTGGTAAAGCAGTATGGTGTGTACATGTGTAGAAGGAGATAGCCAGTTTATTGTCACAGAAATACCACATGTGAGGCAACTAATGTCAGGAGATGGTGTTGGAGAGATAGGTCGATGCCTCATTGTGATAGGCTAATATGCCACATTAAAGAGCTTGGACTATTGGGAGGCAATCTGAGAGGTAAGGAGAGCCGGAACTAGGGAAGGGGTAGAAAGGGATAAGTTCAAGAAACATCGAGGGCTCTGGCATGGGTCAATGGTGCTCACACCTCAGATAGAAAATAAAGAAGAGAAGCAGGTTTGGAGAAAATAGGATATTTTCAGTGTTGTACAAGGGACCTGAGGTGCTTATGGGGTCTGAGGAACCCCATATGAGGTACTAATGAGACTACATGGTTCTGAAACTTAGGGGAGTATCAGAACCCCAATATTCTGGGGGGTCATTAGCATAAAGGTGGTAGTTGGAACTATGTGATTGAGTAAGATTTTCAGGGAGGTCCTAATAGGGTAAGAAGAGCTGTATGTTAAGGGTGTAATTCTGGGCATCACCCACATTTAATGGACAGGCAGAGAAGACAAAACAGTTTTCCTAGGACAATGCAGTGCCATGGAGACTAATGAAGGCGATTTTTAAGGGGGGGAATAACAATATACATTTAGCACCATTAATCCTCTGTCTGTGGTTGAATGTGTAGAAGAACCATGACTGAGGTTTTCATTTTTTAGCAGAACATGAAGGATTTTGACAAAAAGTAGTTTTCTATATTATTAAGGACCTATAGTTTAAGGAAAATATTTTTTTCATATCTATAGTAATTTTTTATTACAGTTTACATTATTTCCTACTTTTCTCCATTACTAATTTTCTTAAAATTTATTGGAAGACCTAAGTCAGTCTGCTATTGGCCAATGTAAAATCTCTTTTTCTGTTTCTAAGTGTGTAATGTTGTCAGCATCGAGCATCACACTAAACCTCTATTTTGATGATGACTTATGTTTACAAATGTTACAGTCTCCAAGCCTTCTCACCTAGCTTTTTGATCCTCACAAGAAGCTTGTGGGATAGGTAGGACAGATAACTATCTTCATTTTTCTTTTCCAGTTGTGGAATCTGTGCCCTTGTTTAATTATGTTCTTTGTTCATAGATAGCTGTTAGTTTTTTACTTCATTATCTTTGACTAATGAAATAAAAAACTTTAGTTAATGAAATAAAAAACTAAGTCATTATCTAATGACTTCTAGATAGTGCTAGTCACCAGATACAAAGCTAAGGAAAGTTTTTTAGTTTTTTATTTCATTTCATGGGTATATAATCTAAAATGTTAAGGCTGAAAGGAACTTCAGAGATCCTCTTTTTCAATATCTTTATTTTAAAAATGAATAAACAGGCCCAAAGAGGTAAAATCACTTTCCTAAGATCATGTAGGCAGAAAAAGCAAAACAAGATCTGAAAATCAGCTTTATTGATTTCTGGTCCCTATAACAAGAACTGCAATTTAAATTTGCTTTACAAGTAATGTTAGGCCAAGCTCTGCAACTTCAGTATTCTCATTTTGCTTTTATGTTTCTTGGAAATAGTGTGCAGTTCGTGCAGCCACAGAAGGCAGAACTCTCATTTTGGAAGGTTTGGAAAAGGCAGAGAGGAATGTTTTGCCTGTTTTGAACAACTTGCTGGAAAACAGAGAGATGCAGCTTGAAGATGGACGCTTCCTGATGTCTGCTGAGCGTTACGACAAACTTCTCCAAGTAAGAGAAGAAACTCCCACTGCTTTATCTTTGCTGTCAAGCTGTGGGCAGTGCCATTTTATTGTATGGCCCTATTGGAATCAGGACAGATGTTCAGATGACCCTTATCTTGGGTAAATTGCTGAAGTCATGAGTTTACAGTTTTACAATGCTATTCTGTTTGTAGACCTTGTCAAAAGATCCCCCAGATTTTTACTGTCTTTTTTTTCTGGTTAGTCTAATAACTATTCTCTTTTCCTTTTTTTTTTTTTTCTATTTTTTCTTCTTCTTTTTCTTCCTCTTTTCCCATCTCCTTTTTTCCCCCTTCTTTCTTTCTCTTAACAACTATTTAATAAAAGGCTAATGACTTCTAGATAGTGCTAGTCACCCGATACAAAGCTAAAGAAAGTCCAGTTCTTAGCTTCAGGAAGCTCAAGGTCCAGTAGGTATTGACAGAAATGAATAAAATATTTAAAGGATATCCTGTTCTGATGACCCAAGCCACCAGCATCACATGCTGGGGTTGCTGTAGGAACCTCCTAACTGTACTCCCTGCTTCCATCCTTCCTTCCTGATACTGTTCTCAACACAGCAGTCAGTGATCGCCTTAACAATGCATCCATTTGGGGGCATTCCTATGCTCTAACCCTGATGGCTTCTTGTTCCAACTCAGAGTAAAATTCAAAGTTTTTACAATGCAGTACAGTACCCTTTGTTGTCTGCTTCCCTCTGCTAGAATATAAGTTTCACAAGGGCAGGGATTTTTATAACTGGTATTATCTCAAGTTCCTAGATCAATGCCTGGCATATGGTAGTTGCTCAATAACTATTTGTTGAATGAATGAATAAGTACCATGGAATGAGTAAATGCTGTGATAAACATGCATATAAAGAGTACAACAACTGGGGAATGTGGGGACTCTTCAAAGGCTTGGGAGATGGGTTCATGTAATGTCACAAATGACAAGAAGACATTTAGCCCTTGTTCATCCAGCTCAAGCTGTACCACGCTGGATCTCTGTGTGGTTAACCCAGCCTTCTATGACTGACTGCTCTGCCTGTACATTCTAGGACCTAGAGTCTCTCTCATACCTGTTCTGTACATATGTGCTATCTTACTACCCCAGGTTGGTTGCAAATTGATCAGGAGCAGGATCTGTGTCTCATACTTCTTGATCTTGCTCCCAGGGTGCTACTACGAGCCCAGAACACACTAGGCCCTAAATAATGAATGTCAATGCCAGAGGGTTTGATTGCACTGACGCTGCATGGCTGGCAGGGCCAGAAGCAATCTATTTCTTTACTATCTGTGGGAGTTTCTAGATGATGCTTTCTGGTGAAGTACAGTCATTTTCCTCTGGATCTATTCATGGAGCATCTCGTTCTGATATAATCAGAAGGAGATAATCAAGGATTTAATCAAGTAGAAAAAGTAAAATTCATTTATTCATATTGTTAATTTACCAAAATGAAAGCTTTTTAATTTATTTTTTAAAAGGCTGTTATGCAGAACATTTTCTCTTTAGATGCTTTCTAATTACAAAATAACTACTTGTTACTAGAGATTATATTAGTGTTCACCATTTTTAGTAAATAATTTGGAAAAAAAATACTCAGAATATAGAATTTTTTTTTAAAAGTATAGGAGTTACTTCACAACAAAAATTTGATATATTCTTTATTCTTATAGTAGATTCTGTGCAAAGTTATTGAACATATTACTTTGGATAGAAATTCACGATATGTGAGTCAAAAGAGGTTTAGTGACTGGGTGCGGTGGCTCACGCCTGTGACCCTAGCACTTTGGGAGGCTAAGGCGAGCAGATCACCTGAGGTCAGGAGTTCAAGATCAGCCTGGTCAACATGGTAAAACCTCGTCTCTACTAAAAATACAAAAATTAGCTGGGTGTGGTGGCATGCACCTGTAATCCCAGCTACTTAGGAGGCTGAGGCAGGAGAATTGCTTGAACCCGGGAGGCTGAGGTTGTGGTAAGCCAAGATCGTACCACTGCACCCCAGCCTGGGTGAGGGAGCGAGACTCTGTCAAAAAAAAAAAAAAAAAAAAGAGGTTTAGTACGTAAAGAATGCTTATTATTAAGTGAGAAGGGTCTACTACATTTTTCTCCCAAAGTAAATATCAGTATAAACACATAATTTTTTATCGGTAAATGTTATTTCTGTGTTCATAGAATCTGTCTTATAAGAACCTCACAGCATATAGGCAAGATCCCTTCACAAAGCACTATCATCTTATGACAACTTTTATGCTAAAAAGATTCTAACACCATAACGTAAGCCCCATTTATTTCTAGGTAGCTTTGATATTCTAAATTTAATATCTCAAAAATGTTACTGGTTTCATAAAGGTGATTATAGTAGAATTCTGTTATTATGGAAAGAGATACAAAGTTCAGTTTGTATGAACTTTATATTTTATTTAACATTTTTGGGTAAATGAAAAAGAGAAATATTTAGTCAGCTCTCTGAAGTTTCTACTTTTGGTTTCTCAGGGCTAGATCTAGACTCTCACTTTCTAGTGTCTATAACACAGTGTCAGTGTATTAATTAGATGTGTGATTGCTGATTTTGATTCATACCAAAATATGATTGAAATGATTATTTATTATTTTTAAAATTAATTCATGCAGTCAGTCAACAGACATTTGTCCTGTTATACACTAGAGGTAATAAGTCCTCTCAAGAGTGTGGAGCTAGCATGAGACAGTCATGTATAGAAGCAAATGCACAAATAAATAATGACAGAAGCTTGCCTAAGATAAAGTAAAAGGGTACAAAAATGGTTCTGATGAGGGAAGGGGATCTGAGTTTTATGAAGATGTTTTTTGTGTTGAGCTTTGACTGACCCTTGTGTTTATGCTGTGCAAAGTGAAAAGGGTGTTGTTCCAAGAAGATGGAGTCATGTTGGTGAAGCAGCCTCATGTGTTTGGAGAGCTGCAGATGGGAGACAGATTGGAGCACAGGGTCATGGAAGGAGGGTCAAGGGGACGGGCGTGCACTGGTTGCTGAGACTGAGAGAATCAGAGCTTCTGCCAGGAAAGGCCTTGAGTGCCTTCTTAAGAGTTTCTATATTGTCATTTGGGCAGTGAAGAGTTGCTGAAAGATGTGGACGTTTCTCTCAGAATGTACAAATGTGCATTCGTACAAACTTAGTCAATACTGTAGATCCTGCTGCTGAAGAATGTGAAGAGCCATTGATAGAGTTAGGCAGAGAAGGAAGGAAATGAGATGTAACAGGTGCCTGCTATGGGCCACTTGTTTGCACATACATTTTCACATTTAGTTTTCCTAGCAGTCACAATAATGTAGGTGGTATTTTTCCTACTGAGAAGGCTAGGCTAAGGTTCCAAAGGTATAATAGCATGCATGTGCTAACATTTAGTAAAAGTATACATCAAGCAGTTGAGCCAGGACTTGTGACTCCAAAACCCGTACTGGTTCTGTTCTCTAAGCTCCACTATATACTAGTTGCAGGACCATGGGACAAGTTATATAACTCCTTTGAACTTTAGTTCATTCATTCATGTAAAAAGAAGATTGTCTATATTGGATTCTGGTGAAAGTTAAATGAGAAAAATCCATGGAATGTGCTTACCACATAGTAAGTTTCCAAAACATGTTACTACGGATAATATGCCTTGCTAGGAATACCCATAAACATAATTATCTATTTAAGGTCCACTGGTAATCAATCACAGCTCTGCTGGTGACCTGCCCATCGGGGACTACCTTTGTTACAACCTCTAGTCATGTATTTTCCTTACCGCCTACTCTTTTCCTCTGTGTTACTGACTAAGGCTTGGAGATCTGACCCAAGTCTCCTTTATTCCTTGGTGTGTTAACTGCTTTCCCTTTCAAACACCCCAGTCTTCATGTTGTGAGACTGCTCGGGCATCCTGAACCTGATTTCACTTTGCTGCCTGCCTTGACAGTTTGGTTTTGAGAGTGTTCTCCTATACATTTTTCTCAACAGTCAAGTCCTAAGTCCCTGGACTTGGCAGCTCTTATAGTTATGATCTGTATCATTTATGCTATAGCTTCTGGATCTCTTACTTTTATAGGATCATACCAAAAAAGAATTGGATTCTTGGAACATTGTCCGAGTTAGTGAAAATTTCCGAGTGATCGCCTTGGGCTTGCCAGTGCCAAGGTATTCTGGGAATCCATTAGATCCCCCTCTTCGTTCTCGGTTTCAAGCCAGGGATATTTATTATTTACCCTTCAAGGTAAGTATGACCAAGGATAATTTATTTTTTAAACAGTTTTTCTATTTATAACAAGAAATTCAATGCTATAAAAATGTTACTGCATTTTTAAATGTCTTCCTCAGTAGGTCATGGAAAGATATGAGAATAAAGAGTAATGAAAATCTCTGGAAACTAGGAAGAAAAATTATTATGGCATTATTTGAAGGATTTTTTAAAAGGCTGGCTTTTCTTTTAGAAAATGAAATGTATCAGTAAATGATTTTTTGCTATGAAATATTTAGTGTCTGCTTAATTAAAAGGTTGATTGTGTCTATAAAACATTTGCACTTAATCCATTACATTTCTTTTTAATTAATTTAATATGTTTCTATATTACTTTAGGACCAACTTAAGTTGTTATATTCAATTGGAGCCAATGTTTCTGCTGAGAAGTAAGTATATTTTTATAAATATCTGGACACTGAATATTGAATTTGTTTTGTCTGTTCATTGATTGATTAATTGATTGATTCATTCAACAACTGGAATTCTTACAAGAATTTTTCAGTATTAGAATGTTTGGTGATAAAATTAATAAGATATCTTTGGTGAGAAACTCAAGATCTAATAGAGTTGAAAGGTATGTGAATAGCTTTGGTTAACATGGTATAGTAAGTGCCATAATTTCAAAATATTGGGGTATTAGTTGAGATTTTGTAAGGGCTTCACAAAAGCATTGGCATTTGAAATGGGTCCTAAGTAATGAGCAAGTTTTTGCCAGATAGAGAATAGAATCAAGGGATTCGAACAGAATAAGTTTTTATTTTTTTTAAGCATGGAATGTGAGAGTTTATGCCTTGTTCTTAGGGCCATAAAAAAACTCTTGAAAGGCTAGAGTTTAGGTTTGGGGTTACGAAATGTGAGAGATGAGGCTGTCAGGGTAGATTTGGACCAGGTGGTGAGAAACCTCAAATATTGTGATAAATTTAGGAATATATTTGCATCTAATCAGCTTCTGAGTTTTAAGTAGGATATTATGATGCGGGGCCATTGTCCCTTAAGAATTAATATTAGGGCTCATCTTTTTAGATTAATTAAATTGGCCCCTGTGTTTTATATTTAACAGACTTACACATTTTATGTTTTAAAACTATTACAATTTAATATCATTTTTCCCCTAGAATTTCTCAGCTCTTGTCCTTTGCTACAACTCTGTGTTCCCAAGAATCTTCTACTCTTGGACTTCCAGATTTTCCTTTAGACAGTTTAGCAGCTGCAGTTCAAATCTTGGTAAGTAAAATAAATTAACGACTGGCAAATATGTTAAAAATTTTGAAAGTTAATCATTAGGGATTAATGACTTCAGTTTGCTTTTGTCATACTCTTCTATAAATATTGTAAAACCTGAGATTAATTTGTTGTGCAGTGCAGTAAACTGTACAGAGACCAAGGACATGTTCTGAGCCCCGAAAGAACTTTCAGCTTTGGAGTGGGAACTAGACATGCAATCTCAGTGTAGTTCTACAGAGGGAAGGAAGGCTTTAGCCTGGTCAAGTAAAAGGTGTGCTGCAGTGTGAGTTAGGCCTCAGAGCTGTCCTTACCTGAGTTAGGGGAGCTAGGGCTTTCACACTGCTCTAGCTCCCATGAGTCTCTGTGTCATGATTGTCTCAGGGGACACAAATTCCCAGATACTAACTGCTCTCCCAGCATGTGTGCAAGGGTGGCTTCAAGAGCCCAAGGATGTCTCTTAGAAAGACCTACAGCAGTTGCTGTTGGAAGAGAAAGCTAGGAGGCACAAGAGAGAACACAAACAGATCTGAGGGGATCTGATAGAGTACAGACATTGTGCACTACAGTTTCACAAAGGGCATGGCGGTCATGTCTGGAGTGATAGAAATGCCTTCCAGGCAAGAAGTCAAAGCACAGGCAAATGTGTTTAATCACAAAAGGGCCTAGTATCTTTGGAGAATGAGAATAAGTTGTATCCCTAAAGCAAGTGTGTGTGGTAGAGGGAGAAGTTAGAATGCTATCGTGAAATGTTTTGTATGATGAATGAAGTTTCCTGGATTTTATAATGTGGAAAAAGTGGCTTATCAGACAATATTAAGTAGGTGGCCTATGAAGGTGACCAGACTTATGCTGGAGGAAGATACCTTTGTTGGCACTGAGGGAATGACTAGGAAGCTTTTTTAACACTCAGTGAGACCCTGTGGAAGAGGGCACCATCCAAGATAGTGGGGATACTATCTTAGGCAAGAGACTTATTTTTAAACTTTAATGAATGAATGAATGTATGTATGTATGTATGTATGTATGTATGTTTCCTGTGAGTCAGGGAGCCTAGGTATTGCTGACATTGTTCTTTACATCCAGAACAGAATTTCTCCTCCTGTTTATTAAATCTTATACTTTTATTGAATCTTTTTGTTTTTGCTTAGAACATTTTATTTTGAAAATTCTCAAATGTAAAAAAAAAGTTGAAAAATAGTAATTTCATAATCCCCTCACCTACAATCACCCATTATTAATATATTGCTACATTTGTTTGCATGTGCTTTTTTTCTTTCCTTTTTTTTTCCTGAACCATTTGGAAGTAAATTGCAATCAGTACTCTTAAATACTTCAGTATATGTATTAGTTCGTTCTCCCACTGCTATGAAGAAATATCTGAGACTGGGTAATTTATAGAGGAGAGAGGTTTTACTGACTCACAGTTCCACAAGGCTGTGGAGGCCTCAGGAAACTTACAATCACGGTGGAAGGGGAAGCAAACACGTCCTTCTTCACATGGTGGCAGGAGAGAAAAGTGTGGAGTGAAGGAGAGGAAAAGCCCTCTTTATAAAGCCATCAGATCTCATGAGAACTCACTATCATGAGAACAGCATGGAGGGTAACTGCCCCCATGATTCATTTGTCTCCCACCGGTCCTATGGGAGCTACAATTAAAGATGAGATTTGGGTGGACACAACCAAACCATATCAGTATGCAACTTCTAAGAATTAGGACATTCCTTCTACATAACCAGAACAACATTATCACACTTCATATCATGTTAACAGTAATCCATAGTATCATCTAATAGATAGTTCATATTGAAATTTCACTAATCTTTCTTGTCAATAGACTCTTTTAAAGTGAGGTGAACAGAATTGACAGTGCAAATAATGTGAGGAAGGACTTGAGGATAATGAATACTTTCTAATTTTGTAGTTATAACTGTGAAGCTAAGTGAATGTGGGTGAGATTAACCTAGGAATAAAAGGGGATCAGGTACTTTGGGATGAATAAGGTAGAGACATGTATTCTGTTTCAAATGGGGGTCTATGGGATATTCATATAGTCATATGTAATGAACAATTGAGGGCTCAGGTTTAGAGCTCAAGAAAGAAGTCAGGACCAGACATAGAAGTGTGGGAGCCATCAATACATAGAAGATAGATGAAAGATGGAAATGGGTAAGCTTACCCAGGGAAAGGGCAAGGAATGAGAAGAGAAAATAATGAATATTTGCTTTTGTAGACTTATAGAAAATACCACACACCTATTGGTTACTTTTATAAGTCAATTTTAATGTATGTACATTTCAGATGTTTTCTGTGATTATTTTGAATTTTGCTCATTCCTATATATTTTTGCTCTACATAGGATTCCTTTCCTATGATGCCAATCAAACATGCAATCCAGTGGCTTTATCCGTATAGTATTTTACTAGGTCACGAAGGGAAGATGGCTGTGGAAGGTGTTTTAAAGGTGAGTATCTGCTTCCATTTCTTTCCTTTCTTTTCCCATTTTCCCTTCTCTTGCCTTTTCCCATCTTCCCCTCACTCCTTTCCCTACCTTTCCTATTTTTCTCCCCCCATCCTTATTTCTTTCCTTTCTCTTCCCCTCCATTCTTTACTAGGCATGGAGGCATCGGCATTCCAACAAGAAGACAGCTGTGATAAATAGGGCAGCAAACATAGAGGGGGTGATGTGGTTGGGAGATTGGTTGTGTTGAGCAAAGAAGTAAATAGATTGAGCAAATGAATGAATATATTGAGGATAATAAGAGCTATGCTTCTCACTGTTGGATAAGGGATTTATAACTATGGAAAAGGGGAAGGCAAGAAAAAACTCTTAAGGTATTGGATTGGAATTGATGTTACTATGAATCATGGGTTTTTAAAAATAATATATATGAACAGATAGTTACAGATATAGTATGTGTATATGTATACATATACATATTGTCTAGCTGTCTCCTGAGAGAGCCTAAAAACTATGATGTTCTAGTAGCAGTGATCACACCAAGTATCTGGACGTTGGTTTCTAAATACCATGCTCTCTCAAAGGATCAGGTTAGGGAATGTAGAAGATGAGCCTGGACCATCTTTTTGTGCCAGAGAGTAAGGAGATATTCAACAAGTGATGTTGATATGTCAAAATGATGGAGTTCCCAGGTTGCAGTGGCTGAAATCTGGGACAATTTGAGCATAAAAATAAATGATGATGGTAATTGGTTTTAACCTGTTGCATAAAATAGGAATCCATGAGTCCATACTGATATGAATGAACAAAAACTATGGAGGTGGGCATTCTCTTTTAAAGTGTAAAATGCCTACTTGTGAATCTAGAAGGAATTACATAAATAGAAAAAACACCATTTGGCAACCATCAGAGTGGCAGTTAATTTAGACAGGAGTCATCAAAGGATGTTAAAGCTGGCAGGTGGAGCTTCTATGAGGCACAGGGTATTGGCATAATCTCTGAATGTCTCCCTCCAAAAGACTCAGTTGACTACCAAACCAAGAAAGTGGTATTTTTACAGTAAACTTCAACTTGACCAGGTGGGACAAATTGACCTTGTATGCCTCCCAAATTCCCCATTTCTGGGGAATTTTTACTGAGAGTTCATGATGTATGTTTGGCCATGAGAAAATATTGTAGAGTTCTAGATTGAGGGCCATTATATAGAACATAGGCCTCTATTCTTTAAAACTGTTCAGACGTGAAAGACAGGGAAAAACATAGAAATGTTTCAGGCTAAAGGAGACTGAAGAGATTGGATAGCTAAATGCATCATTTGTTCCTGAATTAAATCCCGGACCATTAGAAACAAGTGACAATATTGGCACTGTTCGTAAAACTTGAATAGGGTCTGTGGATTGGATAATAGTGTTATATTAAGTGGATTTCCTCATTTGGAGGCTTATGTGGCAATTACACCGGCCACAGTTCTTGTTTTCAGGGAATTTCAACTGAAGTGTTTGGGGTATGGGGACATCATATCGGCAGCTTGTTCTCAAATTGTTCACATAAAGATCACTGATAAAGTAGGCAGGGGGAGTAGGAGGGAGGGGGAGATGTGCTTAAAAAATGTTAACCATTGAGGAAACTGGGTGAAGGTTATTAACTTGAAAAGCGAGCATTTTATATAAAACTATGGAACTTGCTATAGAGTTTTCATTTAAACTAATAAAGGTCTCATTTTTTGTCATAAGTGATTTATAGTACGTGGGGCATGGTTTTCTTTCGAAATACGTGTGGCATAATTTCCTCTTTGTATAGTTAACAGTGGTGTTTTCCAGAAGGCCAATCACACTCTAAAATGTCTTATAACTATATTTTTAAAGTGTTGACCCTTGGTAGAGACTTACTGGCTCACCAAAATTCCTCCTTATGAAAGACGGTTTTTGCTTTTCTTACATGGTTTGGCTCAAGGTGCAGATTTCTAAGAAATAGAATGTGACCACTAAGCTGTGTGGCTTTCTATATAGAAGCTTCAGTTTCTGGAGGCCAGGATTTGACAACTTTAAGCATATGGAATGATATTTCTCTATCCCTTATCCTCAAATCTACCCAGAATCTTTGGGATACAGAACATCCTCTGTGTATCTATTAACAATGAGATGACCTTAGAAGAGTGGAACATTGGATTCTAATTACTTAAGTGGGATCTTTTTCAGAGCAGTTAGCCAAAGAATCCAAAGAAACAGTATTTTCATTGACTAGTTATGTCAGTAATAATAATAAAATTATTATACAGCTGTTCCTAATAGATAATGAGAAGAGAGGTATAGTTAGAGACAGAATCTAAAAGAGAAGCAAAAAGAAGCAAGGGGAAAATAATGGTCAATAAAGAGACAAAGGAGGGAAGAGACAGCAGAGAATGGAAGCAGTGAAATAACCAATGATGAAAGAGAAGAAAGGTAGGGGTGTGTGTGTGTGTGTGTGTGTGTGTGTGTGTGTGTGTGTGTGTGTATGAGAGAGAGAGAAAGAGAGAGAGAGAGAGAGAAAGGGAAAGTAGGAGGAGAAGGAAGAGGAGGAACAGCAGCAGAAAGAGGAGGAGGGTGGATAGTAAGAACCATTTGGAAATGGGGAGATTAATTCATAGGCTCAAGGAGTCAGGAAATTACCATCTTCTGACAATATAGTTCACTTCAAGGCTTATTCCAGGTGTTGGGGGAGAAGAGAACTCGAATTTATCTTTGATCTAATCAACCTCTAAGCTAAATTGGCCATTGGTCATTGAAGTAGAGTACCTAGTGTTTAAGATCAAAGGCGGTGACTCCAGATGAACTTTAATGCCCCTCAGCCCAATCTGCAGTGCCTTGGAAACAAGGGCACATCCTCAGGGGGGAAGAAACTCGTGAGAAGTTCTGATAAAATGAAGTTTTTTTGTGGAAAAACTGAGAGAAGATATTCAGTGTCTAAAAAAGTCAGTTATGAACAAAGGTCTTTACCTTTACCAAGAAACCACTTTGATGTGTTTTTTGGTCTGTAATTTCAAAACTAGTCATACAAATTTATTATAAAGTTATAGCATATCTTTAAAGAGTTGAATTTTCTTAAGAAAGTAGCTAGTGTTGCTTCATTTTTTTTGTCTTTTAACCATAATTAAGGGGAATGTAGAAAAATGATTGAGTTTATATTGGAACAGAAATGATTTCAAATTTGAATGTGAGTGTTTTGAAAAGGAAAAAGGAATTGGTATTAATTAGATAAGAGGAGACAGAGTGTGGCTGCCTTCTCACCTTAATTATGTGAAGAGCTAGTTAATGGACATTTGTAACTCAGTAAACTGTCAAGTGGGAGGGCTTAAGTTCATTTGTCTGATCTTAATGAAGTACTTTCTTTTTGTAAGATCATTACACAGTGATGTATACAACCAGATTAGCATCTTAAATAGCTTTTCTTAAGAGTGGAAGAGTCAAAAAAAAAAAAAAAAAGGAGTGGAAGAGTCTATTTATTGATATAATTCTTTGTGATCTGGGAAGTCTGTGTGGCCTGTTTGTTATTGTAAGTTTCTGCATTTACCTCAAAGCGTTATTTTAAGCAAATATTTATAGATGGGTGAAATATTACATGTGCTCAAATAGTTTTGAATTAGAAGAGGTAAAAATTAATAAAATATTGTTAAATTTGGAAAAAATGTTTACATAAGAAATAGAAGTATGTATTATAATGGTAAATTAAGAAGGTATGTATATATACACATTAACTTTTCCTTGATAAATGATAATTATTTTTTATCCTAGATTATAGAAATTAATGTGTAGTTGCATTCGAATTAGATATCCATTTGAATTTTAGTGTAATTACTTAATTAGACTGTATTTTCAAGGAAAAATTGTTAGTCACTGAAAATTCAATCAGATAGAATTCACAACACCTTTCTTTTTTCTGAACAAGCTATAAAAGTGGCTGGAATGAGTTTCATTTCTCAGATTGTGCTCATCATGTGATGTTCATGCTCTAAAAACATGTTTCTGTAGTCATGAAATAATTTCTAGCCTTCGGTTAAGGATGTCTTAAAGAAAACCCTCTTATTCTGAATCTGCTATACTTTGAGAATAGTATGCTTTCTTACAGTTTAGTAACAAATGCATCCAGGCTTCTAGTAACGTGTCTTGGCTCTTGGTCTCTACTTAATTAAGACTGCATCATAACAGTGGTTAAATTGGTAAGTTCCCTTGGTGATTTAGAAAGGATATACTGCCACTTATCCATTGATGATGTAATCTGAGCCATAGTTTTTTTCTAAGAAACTTGGATCTTACATTTAGTATTTTTATTTAGTTCAACACATGCTCATTGAGCATTCATTTTTTGGCAAATTATGTGCGTATAGAAATCTAGTGATACAGAAATGGATACAATCTGATTTCAGCTCCTGAGGAAGTTACAATATTAATGTCTGAGAAGCATCAGATATTTTAATAAATAACTATTTTAATATGGTGTTTTTTTGTTTGTTTGTTTTTTTAAGCAGTGTAGCATAATGATGACTAGCTCTGGACAAAGCAGTAATGACCTGACATAGGCCAGTGAAATAGGAATTAAACGAATATGAGAAACGTTTCAGAGGAAGGATGATACATGTTACTAACTGATGAAATATGAGGTGGATTAACGGAGCTATGAGAGAAAGTGAGAAATCAAAAATGTCCATAAATCCTACCTTGGACACATGAGTAGAGTTGCTGTTAATTAATATGATAAAGTGGGAGAAGGAGCCTGTTTGTGGTGGGGGCTAAATAATTCCATATACTAGAACCCTTTTGAATTTGAAGTTTTTCTGGTGGTTTTATCTAGCAGACTTGAAAATATGGACCTGGTTCTAGAGGTATTTTGATATTGAAGATAAATACTTGGAACCCATTGTTATGTGGGTGTTAGTTGAATTCATGGGGATGGATGTAACAACTTAAGGATTGCAAGTATACTGAGAGGAAATATCTGTCTGCAGATTGAACATTTCAGGATTGGATCAGTAGGGAAAGAACCTTCAAACTGGGCAGAGGAAGAGTGGTTAGAGATAGAAGCAGAATGGCGGAGAGTATTCTTAGGGAGCATTGGGAGCAACTGTTTCAAGAGGAAAGTAATAGCAACAGTTTCAAATGCTGCAAAGATGCCTTGTTGAATGAAGACTTACAACATTCACTCAAAAAAGATTATTCATTCCGTCCATCCTTCCATCCAATCAATTAGCCAGGCGCTATTGTGCTGGAGATGTATGCAGCACGGAAGTTTCTACCTTCATGGAGCTTATTTTTCTGTGAAGGGCGACTATCAGTCAAGTAAGTAAGTAAGTATATAATATGTCAGTTGAGGAATGGATGCTATCACTGAGAAGATGACATTTGAATAAAGATCTGAAGGAGAGAAGTCCTGTGGGTAAAAAGTATTTCAGACAGAAGGGATAACCAGTATAAAAATGCTGAGGCAGGAGCACACCTGGGAACTGTAGGAACAGTAAAGGACAGTGTATTGGGGCAGAGTGAGTGAAGGAGAGGTGATTAGGAGAGAAATCAGAAGGTAAATAAAGTCAGATCATGTAGGGCTCTGTAATCCATGGAAAGGACTTCTGCTTTCAGTCTGAGTGAAGTGGAACACCATTTGAGGGTTTTGAGGAATGTGTTATATGAGTGATCATTTTAACAGATTGGTTGCTGAGTAGTGAATAGACTGTGGAGGGTATGAATGAAAACAGGGAAAAAAACAGTTGGTAGACTGTGGTAGTAATCCAGTTGAGACAGTATTATACCTTTGACCAGCTGTGATGTTGGTAAGAAGTAGTTGGATTTGGGTTATGTTTTGAAGGTAGAATCATGATTTGCTGAAGGGTTGGATGTAGGGTTGATACAGAGTTAAGGATGATTTCAAACTTTTGGACTGAGAAACGTGAATGATGAAGTTGGAGATAGAGAATATGGAGGTGGAGGGACTATCAGACCAGAGCATTGGACATATTTGATTTAACATGCCTATTAGCCAAATGGAAATGTCAAAGAGGCAGTTGCATATACAAGTCAAGATTTCAGGAGAGAGATCTGGATCAGAGAGAGAAAATTGGAGTCATGATGGTTTGTAAAGTCATGCAAGTGATGAGCTTATTTAAAAAGTGAATGTAGATAGAAAATAAAAAGTTCCACTCCTGAAGTACCTTACTGTGTACTGGTCAAGAAGATGAAGAAGAACCTGCAAAAAAGACTGAGAAGGAAACAGCAAAATAGGAAGAAAACTAATTTATTTAATTTGGTAAATAGGATATCATTGATGAACTCACCAAAATCAGTGTTAGTAGAGCGATGGGAACATAAGCCAAAAATCAAGGGGCTTACATTTTAAATTGGAGATGAAACCGAACCAGTGATTATATATTCATATGTATCAACCAAGTTTGATGGTGAACAAAAGCCAAAAGATGATAGATCACTTAAAGATGAGGTATAATTAAGAAATGACTGTTTCTTGAAATGGGGGAGGCAAACATTTTTATAGGCAGAAGGGACAAAAAATGTGGAGTACATGAAAAATGTGGCCTAGCTAAGGTGGAAAAGGACATTTTCAGAGCACCCTTGTGTGTTGGTTTGAAATGATGGAAGAACATGCTTTCCACTCAGGAACTGGAATGATGGAGCTGCCATAATCTGACGTAGAAAGACTTCTAGGGGTTTCTGTCTACTCATAGTTAAAGCAGAAGTCCTTTCTACTGAAACAGTGGGTACAGTAACAAGAATTGATTAAAACATCAATGATTTTGAGGATGAAGGAAAAATAATTTTGTTTGTTCATTTAATAAGCCGTTATTGACCATTGACTATGTCCCATGTGTGATTCTAGGTTCTGGAAATTTAGAGTGAGCCAAATAGATACATTTAATACTGCCCTAATGGGGCTTATGTTCTAGTAAAGTATGGGGGAGTATGTGTCTGTAAGCTCTGTTCTGAGTGGAGGAGGCAGCTAGATTGCCTCATGACAGGGTGATAAATGGGCTCAGATTGACTTCTGAGGAGAGTAGTAATGGCTTGTATTTGTTGCTGAGGGGCTATGAGAAAAGAACCCAGGAGAGACTGTGGCCACATATTTGTTCAGGCAATATGGTTTGCAGAATTTCACTTTCAGTGCTTAATAATCTAGAAAAAGGTATGAAGAAAGTAGATGGCCTGATGGGACAGGATTGGGAATTGTAAGGATGAATATGGAAGCCCGACAGACCAGTATCCAATGTGATTTATATTTCATTTTATTTAATTATAATTCACAGTTTAAATAACCTAATTCTAAAGAAAGTGTATTAGAAAATGTTAGTGCTGTTTAATTGAAATTCAAGAATTCATAGGAAATACTCATAAAGTGGTAAGTTAACAAACTCTTATTTTCTACCTCTTGCTAGGAAGTAACCTGAAATAATTATATGTCTATTGTCCTTCTGACCAGCTGTGATGTTGATAAGAAGTAGTTCGATTTGAAGGTAGAATCATTATGATTCGCTGAAGGGTTGGATGCAGGGTTGAGACAGAGTTAAGGGTGATGATTTCAAGCTTTTGGACTGAGAAACTTAAATGATGAAGTTGGAGATACAGAATATGGGGGTACCTTTCTGATTAATGATCCTCTAAATTTTCTATGCCAGAAAATGATAATTCACCTTGCAATTTGAAGTTTTTACCATCTTAGTGTATTCTGGCCTACTATTTTTATTTTACTGAAATATTTTAGCTTGAATTATTTATGAGGACATAACCAGTATAGCAAGTGGCTCAGGACATTAGTGTTTATTTCTGGAATATGAGTCCTCTGACATCAATCCTGTATCAAATTAGATTGACACTACTCTAGCTGTGGTAAAGACATACATTTAAGCTCATTTATTTGTTTTCCTAGAATTTAATGAATCTTCGTTCTACATTTTTTTTTTTTTTTTTTAGACAGAGTCTCGCTCTGTCACCAAGCAGAGTACAGTGGCATGTCTTGGCTCACTGCAGCCTCCTCTTCCCGGGTTCAAGCAATTCTCCTGACCCAGTCTCCTGAGTAGCTGGGACTACAGGTGCGCACCACCACGCCCAGCTTATTTTTGTATTTTTAGTAGAGACAGGGTTTCACCATGTTGGCCAGGCTGGTCTTGAACTCCTAACCTCAGGTGATCCACCCATCTCTGCCTCCCAAAGTGCTGGGATTACAGGCATGAACCTTTGCGCCCAGCCATTTGTTCTGCATTCTAATGAATTTAATTACTTGGGTAGGTCTTGCTCCTTTCCTATTGAGTCCTCCTTAAAATACAGTGGAACTTTTTTTTTTTCCCATGAAATTAAGGTGTCAATAATTGTTACTTGTCTACAATATGGAAGCAATTCTTGTCAAATTATGTGATACTGTGGGGATTTGCATATATAAATTGTATGAAATACAGAACTTTTTAATGGTAGTACAAATATACAGGTTTTTTTTAGGTTTGGGGAAAGGAGTTAGTGATTGTCTTGAGTATTTATGACATCAAAATGAACACTTGAACTGGGCTGTTATGTTTAGAATGTTGAGGTTAAACATGATTTCCTTCCTCCTAAATCTATTTTCTGGAGTTCTTTCATTCTGCTGAATACATGATGATCTGTTCTTTCACTGAGTTTCAACTCTTTCACTATAGTAATCACGTTCCAAAACTAGTATAGGATTTTGGGGGTTAATTTCTGCCTATTTAGTAGTAAAAATAAATTCAGTTTTTTATATTGAGCATGCTGTTATAAGTAGGGCATCGAACTTAATTTTCAATTTATTTTCATCTTTCACATATTTATCTGTATTCTTTCTGTGCAGTTTTGATATAACTAGCTGGAATGAAGTGGTGTAGTCAGTGTTAGAACATTGGTAATTGGGCCGTATCAAGAATCAATGGTTCTAGCCTTTCTTGTTGTTGTTGTTTGAGACAGAGTTTTTGCTCTGTCGCCCAGGCTGGAGTGCAGTGGCGCAATCTCAGCTCACTGCAGCCTCCATCTCTGGGTTCAAGGGATTCTTGTACCTCAGCCTCCCAAGTCACTGGGACTACAGGTGTGCACCACCATGCCCGGCTAATTTTTGTATTTTTAGTAGACAGGGTTTCACCATGTTGGCCAGGCTCATCCTGACCTCAGGTGATCCGCTTGCCTTGGTGTCCCAGAGTGCTGGGATTACAGGCATGAGCCACTGTGCCTCGTGGTTCTAGCCTTTTAAATCCAGTTCAACAAATATTGAGACCCCACCATGTAGAAAGCACCGTACCATATGCTGTGGAAAATTGTTTCAATAATTTTAGTTAAGCTGTTCACATAGCTGACAGCAGAATGATGTCCAAGAAGTTCTGTTTTCATGGATTTCAGGTAACACATTAACTTCGATTGATTTAAAGAACAAACCAATATGGGCCTTGTTTTATTTCAGCATGTTTTGAAGGGTCTCATCATCTCTTTCTAGGAAGTTGATTATCAAGAGATGTAAGCTATGAACTTTCACCAGGTCAGGAATTCAGTGATTCCATTTCTTGTCATTTAGTAAATTTTAGGGACTATTTTTATATCGTCTTTAATAATTGTTGTAAGTAGAATGGTATTAGTAGGAATAGAAAAAAGTTCTCATTAACTTTTTTTAGCCTCTACTTTTATATAATAATATAAAATGGATTTCGGTTGTAATTAAGGTATAATCTTTCAGATAGCCAACATTAATGCTACAATGAAAAGTAAATTGCATGATTTTCTTGTAATTTTACAGCGCTTTGAACTTCAAGATTCAGAAAGCTCTCTGCTTCCTAAAGAGATTGTAAGAGTAGAGAAGATGACGGAAAACCATGTGTCCCAAGCTTCTGTGACCATCCGGATTGCAGATAAAGAGGTGACCATTAAGGTAATTAATCACAGGTTTATTCTTTCTAAGATATATCTTATTCTGCCTCTTTTTATGACCTAAATTAGGTTTATGATCTCCTTATAAGTCTTTCTTGATAGTACTGCTTCTGTCTGTATCTGTATATCTATGTCTCCAGAGTCATGTGTGCTTACAAACTGGAAAAATTCAGGAGAAACAGGGAAAGCCTTTCATCAAAAATTCAAAGTTGACCTCTGGGAAAATCAAGTCATGGGTTGATTATTGACAGCATTTTGTACTATGAGTCCTGGGTAAGAAATAGTGTTTTCAAACATTTGAGCTGCTACAGAGCCCTGTTGTCAAGTAAAATCTTTCTTAGCGATGTGAAACAGTTTAAAAAGGATCTGCTCGGTTGAATGGTTTTTAGAAGAGGGAAATAATATTTGGTCATAGAGCTCCATCTGCATGTATATATGTTATATATATATCAACTCCTTCTATATATATCTCTGTGTATATATATACACATATTTTATGAAGTCTTACTATATTGCCCAGGCTTGTTTTGAATTCCTGAGCTCAAACAATACTCCTGCCTTAGCCTCCTGAGTAGCTGGGACTACAGGCACATGCCACTGTGCCTAGCTCATGGTAAACTATTTTGTTTTAATATTTGATATTATTAATATTAATTCATGTTACTGTACTTATTCATTGAACTGAATATTGATTATATCTACCATGAGCTAGGCTCCATATTATGAGTTTACTGTATACTAGTTACTGTATTTGTCTCTTTGCATATATTATGCGATTTAAATCCCCCAAGATCCATTAAGGTAAATTTTATTATCTCCATTTTGTAGATTAGAAAACTGAGATGTAAAGAGGTTAATTGATTCACCCAGAGACACCAGCTAGGAGATGGCACAGCTGGGATTTCTAGACAGGGAGAGTTGCCCACTATACTCTCTGTTTTCTTCAGATGAATGGCTCATCTAGCTGATGGTTTAGGATAGAGGCAGATGAGTTAAGACTGCATTGGAATGACTGGGGATATGGAGAGGGAAGTAATACTGGGATTCAGGAGATGGAATAGGGAAAGCTTCAGAGCGAAGGTGAAGCTTGAGCTAAGTCTGCAGGAATAACAGGATTTTTCCAGTGGCTCAGGAGTGGATAGGACATTTTTGGCAGTTTAAACAATATGTTCAGAAGCATGAAGTATGAAAAAGACTTCATTATTTGCTTCCTTTTGGTTATGGCTTTTTAACCTCATTGCCTCTAGTCTCTTCCAGTTAGCTTTCCATGTTGATACCAGGATAAATTCTTAAAAGCAAATCTGATCCTGTCGCTTCCAAACTTACAATTCTTTGGTTCATGTGGTATATAATATGATCCAACCCAGAGTCCTCAGCAGAGCATGGCTCCTCGGGAACTAATAGGCAGGATAAAAAAAAGAGTGGGAAGACAAAAAATAAAAAGGAGAAGTAGGTGTAAAAGATGGGAAGAGAGACTCTGTGAACAGATGCCTCTCAGTGGTAAACTAAGATAAACCTGAAAAGGATTTGTGGACTTGACTTTTAGAAATCAGGAGGTCATTGGTGACTTTAGAGATTCCGATGGACTAACATTAATTCTGTGCTTACAACTAGAATTTAGGGAAAAATTTATGCTCCAGTAGTAACATCTTTACTGTAAGTTATAAACAGCATTAAGATGACATGATTTTTATGAATATGTCTGACAGTGTGGGACTTTTAGAGAAATAATTGATTTGGAAGTTTTGTAATAATGATCATCAGGTCTGTTAAATGAAAAAATAGTTGCTGCTCTATTGAAATATCAAAAACAGTAAAAAACTAAATTGAGCAAGCTATTAGTTGGAGGCTTTTAAGTGGCAGTTATATGCTTTAAGTTACTGATATTTTGAGAAAAACATATGCATGTTTTACACACACATACACAAATATATATACACATATACACACACACGCACACACACACACATATATTTTTTTTTGTTTTTTGTTTTTTGTTTTTTGAGACAGAGTCTCTCTCTGTTGCCCAGGCTGGAATGCATTGGTGCAATCTCGGCTCACTGCAACCTCTGCTTCCTGGGTTCAAGCGATTCTCCTACCTCAGCGCCCTGAGTAGTTGGGATCACAGGTGCGTGGCACCATGCCCAGCTAATTTTTTTTGTATTTTGGTAGAGATAGGGTTTCACCATATTGGCCAGGCAGGTCTCGAACTACTGACCTCAAGTGATCCGCCCGCCTTGGCCTCCCAAAGTGTTGGGATTACAGGCATGAGCCACCATGCCTGGCCATGTTATATTGACCTCTCTTTCATTATAGGTGCCAGCTGGGACCAGGCCATTAAGTCAACCTTGTACATCAGACCGTTTCATACAGACTTTGAGCCATAAGCAGCTACAGGCTGAAATGATGCAGTCTCACATGGTTAAGGATATATGTTTAATTGGAGGAAAGGTAAGGATGACAGTCTCACTGCAGACTTTTAGTTTCCTGGCTTTTGGTTATTTTGACTTACCCCTTGAATAATTGTGTTTCCATTTGTAGGGTTGTGGAAAAACAGTGATCGCCAAGAACTTTGCTGATACCTTAGGATACAACATAGAACCTATTATGCTCTATCAGGTACAGTGTTCATTTTTAGCTGCACTTGGACTATAAGCATATATCCTCAGCCCATCAGCAGAATTTATGGATATCTTCTTGTTATGACACTTTTTTTTATGTAGGTAAAGAACCAAAATAGTAATCAAATTATTCCAAGTAAAGTGCAATTATAATTATTTGGAGCTTTTGAAAGTACATTCTAGCATATCTGATGTGCACAACATATCAGGGGCTGTGTTTCAGAGAGATTTATTTTCCAGAGGCCTGGAAGGGTGGGGGGAAAAGAGGAGTCGAGAGAGGTTGATTAATAGTTATAAAAATACAGGTAGGAGGGAGAAATAAGACCTAGTGTTTGATAAGTAAGTAGAATGACTATAGTAGACAATAATCTATTGTGTATTTTAAAATAGCTAGTAGTTAATAATTCAAATGTTCCAGCATAAAGAAAAGATAAATGTATGAGGTAATCGACACCTTAATTACCCTAATTTTTTATTTCACATTATATGAATGCATCAAAATATCACATATACTCTGAAAATATGTATATATATTATGTGTCAATTAAAAAGTGAGATTCATTTTATGTGCATGTCCCCACACAGAATACATTTACTGGTAATTTGGAAATCGAAACAAAATAGGTTTCAGCTGCAGTGGGAGCTAATTATGTATTCACTGAATAGATTATTTTTTAAATGGTGACAAAATATGTATAACATAAAGTTTACTACATTAGCCTTTTTTTTTTTTTGAGACAGAGTTTCGCCCTTTTGCCTAGGGTGGAGTGCAGTGGCACAATCTCGGCTCTCTGCACTCTCCGCCCACCCCGGGTTCAAGCGATTCTCCTGCCTCAGCCTCCTGAGTAGCTGGGATTACAGGCACCCGCCACCATGACTGGCTAATTGTTTTTGTATTTTAGTAGAGACAGAATTACTGCCATGTACAATTCACTGGCAGTAAGTACATTCATAATGTTGTGTAACCATTACCACTTCCTTTTTCCAGAACTTTTTTTATTATCCTAAACAAAAACTCTATACTCGTTAAACAGTAGCTCTCAGTTTTTCTTTCCCTCTCAGACCCTGCCAAACTCTACTTTCTGTCCCTATAAATTTGCCTATTCTAGGTACCTCATATAAATGGAATAATAATTTTTGTCCTTCTTGTTTAGTTTATTTTACTTATCGTAATGTTTTCAAGGTTTATCTGTGTTGTTGCGTATATCAGAATTTCATCCCTTATTAGGGCAGAGTCATATTCTGTTGTATGTCTATACCACTCTTTGTTTCTCCATTGGTCTGTTGATGGACACTTGGGGTTGTTTCATTTACACTATTGTAACCTTTTGGCTATAGTAAGTAATTCTGCTGTGAACAGTGGTGTACAAGTAGGTATTTGAGTCCCTGCTTTCAGTTTTTTAAGGTATATACCTAGGAATGGAATTATTGGATCATATGATAATTCTGTGTTTAATTTTTTAAGGAGCCAATAAACTATTTTCCGTAGCAGCTACACCATTTTCATTCCCACCAACAATGCACAATGGTTTCAATTATTCTACATTCTCCCTAACACTTTTTTTTCTTTTTTCCTTTTTTTTTTTTTTTTTAAGTCATTATCCTAATGGCTGTGAAGTGGTAATTCACTGTGGTTTTGATTTGCAGCTCTCTAATGACTACTGATGCTAAGCATCTTTTTCATGTACTTACTGGCTATTTGTATATCTTCTTTGGAGAAATACCTATTTGAAACTCTTACCCATGTCTAACTTATTTATTTTTTTCTCTTGATTTTTATTTTAGATTTGGGGGTACATGTGCAGGTCACAATTTACATGGGTAAATTGTATGTCACTGAGGTGTGGTGTATAAATGATCCCGTCACCCAGGCAGTGAGCATAGTCTCTGATAGTTTTTCAACGCACAGCCCCCTCTCAAGTAGTCCCTATTGTCTGTTGTTCCCATCTTTATGTCCGTGTGTTCTCAATGTTTAGCTCCCACTTATGAGAACATGCAGCTTTGACTTTTTGTTCCTGTGTTAGTTCACATAGGATAATGTCCTCTAGCTACTTCCATGTTGCTGCAAAGGACATGATTTTGTTCCTTTTTATGGCTGCATGGTTTTCCATGGTGTATCTATGCCACATTTTCTTCATCTAGTCCACTGTTGGTGGGCACCTAGGCTGATTCCGTGTCTTTGCTGTTGTATATAGTGTTTGTATTAGTCAGAGTTCCCTAGAGGGACAGAACTAATAGGATACACACACACACACACACACACACTAATAGGATATATATATATATATATATATATATATATATATATATAAAAGTGTGTGTAGATATACACACACTAATAGATATACACACACACATATATATACACATATATCTATATATACACACACACATACATATATATATATATGAAGAGGAGTTTATTAAGTACTAACTTGCACCATTACAAGGTCCCACAGTAGGCTGTCTGCAACCTTGAGGAGCAAGGAGAGCCAGTCTGAGTCTCAAAACTGAAGAATTTGGACTCTGATGTTTGAGGGCAGGAAGCATCCAGCATGCAAGAAAGATGTAGGCTGGGAGGCTAGACCCATCTTGCCTTTTCATGTTTTTCTGCCTGCTTTATATTCGCTGGCAGCTGATTAGATGGTGCCCATCAGATTAAGGGTGGGTCTGCCTTCCCCAGCCCACTGACTCAAATGTTTTATCTCCTTTGGTAACACCCTCACAGACGCACCCAGGATCAATACTTTGCATCCTTCAATCTAATCAAGTTGACACTCAGTATTAACCATCACAGTGCTGCAGTGAACATATGTGTAGAACAATTTATTTTCATTTAGTGTATACTTAGTAAGGGGATTGCTAGGTCAAATGGTCATTCTGTTTTAAGTTCTTTGAGGAGTCTCCAAACTGCTTTCCATAGTGGCTGAACTAATTTACATAGCTGCCAGCATTGGGTGAGTGTTCCCTTTTCTCCACAACCTCACCAATATCTGTTATTTTTTGACTTTTTAATAATAGCCGTTCTGACTGGTGTTAGATGGTATTCATTGTGATTTTGATTTGCATTTCTCTAATGATAGTGTTGATGAGCCTTTTTAAAATATATTTGTTGGCTGCATGTATGTCTTCTTTTGAGAAATGTCTGTTCTTGCCCTTTGCCAATTTTTTAAATGGGGTTGTTTTTTCTTTGTTGAATTGTTCTTTTTGTTATTAGACCCTTGTCATGTGCATGTTTGTGAATATTTTCTCCCATTCTGGAGGTTGTCTGCTTACTTTGCTGATAGTTTCTTTTGCTGTACAGAAGCTTTTTAGTTTAATTAGGTCTCACTTGTCAATTTTTGGTTTTGTTGCAAGTTCTTTTGTGGTCTTAGTCATAAATTCTCTGCCAAGGCCCATATTCAGAATAGTATGTCAGAATAGATTTTCTTCTAGGTTTTTATAGTTTTAGGTCTTAGATTTAAGTCTTTAACCTATTTTGAAGTAATTTTTGTATATGGTAAAAGGATCAGGTCCAGTTTCAATCCTGTGCCTATGGCTAGCCAGTTATCCCAGCACCATTTATTGAATAGGGAGTCCTTGCCCTGTTGTGTGTTCTTTTTGACTCTGTCAAAGATCTGGTGGTTGTAGGTATGTGGCTTTATTTCTGGGATCCCCTTCCCATTTCATTGGTCTAGGTATCTGTTTTTGTACCAGTATCATGCTGCTTTGGTTACTGTGGCTTTGTAGTATAGTTTGAAGGCAGGTAGCATGATGCCTCAGGTTTTGTTGTTTTGCTAAGGATTGCATTGGTGATTCAGGCTGTTTTTTGAATCTATGTGAATTTTAGAATAGTTTTTTCTAATTCTGTGAAAAATGATGTTGGTTGTTTGATAGGAATAGCATTTAATCCGTAAATTGCTTTGGGCAGTATGGCCATTTTAACAACTGTAATTCTCAGGAGCACAGCATTTTTTTTCACTTGTTTGTTTAATCTCTGATTTCTTTCAGCAGTGTTTTGTAGTTCTTGTTGTAGAGAAAAGATCTTTTACTTTCTTGGGTAGCTGTATTCCTAGGTATTTTATTCTTTCTGTGGCTGTTGTAAATGGGATTGTGTTCTTGATTTGGCTTTCAGTTTGGATGTTATTGGTGTATACAAATGCTACTGATTTTTGTACCTTGACTTTGTATCCTGAAACTTTATGGTAGTCACTTAGTACTTTTAGGAGCCTTTTGGTGGAGTCTATAGGGTTTTTTAGGCATAGAATCATATAATCTGTGAAGAGAGATAGCTTGACTTCCCCTTTTCCTATTTTTATTTCTTGGTCTTGCCTGATTGCTCTGGCTAGGACTTCTAGTACTGTGTTGAATAGGAATGGTGAGAGTGGACATCCTTGTCTTATTCCAGTTGTTAAAGAGAATGCTTCTAGCATTTTCCTGTTCAGTATGATGTGGGCTGTGGTCCTTACTCATGTTTTAATTGATTTTTAATTTTTTTTAATGGACTTTTTGTTGTTGAGTTGTAGGAGTGTTTTAATGTATTCTGGGTATAGAATTCATTCTCCACATACATGATTTTCTTTTTTTGAGATGGAGTCTCGCACTGTCACCTGGGCTGGAGTGCAATGGCGCAGTCTTGGCTCACTGCAACCTCTGCCTCCCAGGTTCATGCAATTCTCCTGCCTCAGCCTCCTGAGCCCTGGGATTACAATTGCACATCACTACACCTGGCTAATTTGTTGTATTTTTAGTAGAGACAGGGTTTCACTATGGTGGCCAGGCTGGTCTCGAACTCCTGACCTTGTGATCCGCCCCCCTTGGCCTCCCAAAATGCTGAGATTACAGGCGTGAGCCACCCCACCTGGCCATGATTTTCAAACATTTTAATTCATTCTGTGGGTTTTCTTTTTACCATTTTAATAATAGGATTTTATACATCTTTTGATGTACAAAATGTTTAAATTTTGTTGAAGTCCAATTTATCATTTTTCTTTTGTTACCTGTGTTGTTGGTGTTATA